GGATACTGGAATCGTTCATATCTCTGAAAAGCTTTGGGCTTTACCTGCTATTATGAAAAAACAGTGCGTATACTTGGTAAGATCCATTTCGAACAAAGTGGGTTTGGACAAATTACTTTGTTGAAGTTGAGGAATGCTTCATTTACTTGGTAGATTTTTTTTTCTTTTCACAGAACGCAAATTGCTTCAGGTTGTGTGGAATGGGTTTTATGTGGAAATTCATACTGCTTGAGTTTAGTTTACTGAAGTTGTGGAATGCTTCATTTATGTGGTGTTCGGCCATCATACAAGTTTTTCCCATGGATTATTGACATAGAATTTTATTTTTGTCTCAGCACGCAAATCAGTTGGTTCAGATTGTGTGGAATGGCCGAGAAGAACAGGGAATATGTCGTTCTTGTAGGGAGGCATGACATGTGCTGTTGGAATGCCCCCAAAAAGCGGAGATGCCCAAACTGTGACGATGGCTTCATTAGGAGGTTCGAGTTAGAAAAGAATTTCGACAATAAAGGGAAGTTGTTCCATTGTTATACCCGCGATTGTAGGTTTATCAAGTTTTCTAAAGTTTCGCCCGACAAAGAGTATCCATTACAAGGTGAATCAAGTGACACTAACAACGGAAATGAACATGTCAACAATTTGTACTGTATGTTGAAAATGTGTGTAAAAATAACCGAGGAGATGGACTTGGAGATTTCGCTCAACATGACCATGCGCAAGGGGAAACGAGTTTCAGAAGATTTAATATGAAATATGTCTATTTGGATGACCTCGACTTATTGGAATTATTTGGTTTTATGAACAAGACTTTCGAACGGTGTACTTTGCCTGGTTTCGTATCAATTTTTGGTGTTTGATAATGTCATGACCATTATGTACTGTGATTTTATGTGGACAAAGTTTTGATATCACTTCACTTTGTTATGTTTCAAGCTAAAAATCAACAACCAACACTGGGCATCATAATATGACAAAAGAATCAACAACCAATCAGAATCATAACATGACAAAAGAAATGCATTAAATCAGATTGCTCCAACAATTACGTAAACACAAAGTGTCTACATAGTAACCCACAAAATAACCACCACATCAAACACTCCAGTTAGAATTAAACCAAAATGTATAAATTAGATCATGCCCGTTAACTGTTTACAAAAATTTACAGCCAAATATTTCTGGATGCTTTAAACCCCTAAATCAAAATCACCCATTTGAGGCTTCAAATTTGCATTTGTACCACTGATTTGACGGCCCTCCCAACTACATGTAAATGTTACATAACGTACAACCCCATCATCACGTTTCCTCGAAGATCTTTTCCTTACCGGAAAACCGATTTGGTACGCATAGTTCTTGTAAAATTGAAACACCTCATTTTCATCTTAAAACTTCATTTCAACACTGGGCACAATAATATCAGTTCCTTCTCCTAAGCTCATATCAATCGGATTGTCGTCTTTGGATGAATGAATTCCAGGCTAATTAGCACAAAACGTCCCTACCTTTGGAGGGTATTTTAAATACCGTCCCTACCTTTCATTTTTTGGCATTGGCTACCCTTACCTTTCACTTTTCGTGCGCTGGATGTCCTTTTCACTATTTTTTGACGATTTTGCCCTCCATTCAATTGAAACAAAAAGAAAAGAAAAGAAAAACAATTGAATAAATTGTAACTATTGGCCCAAACTTTTTAAAAA